TTGATTTTGTTCGTGCAGCTCAACATTTCACAGTTGTCGCAACTGCAATGATAGTTTTGTTTGATCACAAATACTGTGTCAAAAGAGTTTCTACTGATTCAGAAGGGAACACAATCAACTTGAAAATTTTTGTGTGCGTCCATAGTTTTTGGACGAACTGTAGGCTTTGCGATAAGCTCGGTATTAGAAATGTAATGATTTGTAGATCCAATCAATTGAAAGATTATTTGAAAAATAAGTCAATCAAAAATTATATAATTAATTTAGATAGTTATGGCGGCGGATCTCATTGGGTTGCATGCAATACTGCTAAAAAAATGTATTTTGACTCATATGCTCAAGAAAAGCCATTATCAATACCATCTGATTATAAAAGAAGTTCAACTAACAAAGAGTTGCAAACACTGGAGGCAACGGATTGTGGTGGCTTGTGTTGCCTATGGCTTTATTATATTAACTATAAATCAAATCATGATTACTATAAGTTATTCAAAGATGTTTATAAAAAAAAGTCCTGATCCTTTGGTCATTCTTTTAGCTTTACCTTTAATACCAACTCCTGTTGCTGATTTTAGTAATTGACGTCCAGCAGAGGCAACTTCAGGACCGACAAATGGAGTAGCAACGCCTTGAGCAACGTCTGCTAGAGCAGATCCAACTCCTGAATCTTTAAGCCATTTACCAGCAGCTTTCAATCCATCCCAAATAGTATCAAATATACCAGATCCGCTCATATCACCGCTGACTGATGGCATCATGCCATGATGACCAGCTGTATGCATAATTTCGCCAGGGCTTAATTCTAGGTTAATTCCACCTTTAGCGTTGATTACTTTTTTATAGTTGAGTGGATGCAAAAAATACAAGCCGACCACTACCAATAGAACTCGGGCTTAAACGAATTTTAGCTCCGCGTAAAGCCTTTTTCTGTTGTTCCTTACTGATTTGCAATTTCACTTGATGATAAGGCATCGCTCTAAAATATCTATTTTATGTATAATCTATTAAATAGAAAAAATATAATTTAATGATATTTATTGAGTTCACAGTCAGTCATAAGTGAATCTGATTTACAATTCTTCTTTAACCACTCGAAATAAAATTGATCGATGTCATAGATTTTATTTAGTGATAAACCTTTATATTTTCCAAAATGAATAATTGGGGAAGTATCAGTTCCAACGAATTTTATGCGTAAAAATTCTTTAATATCTACGTGTGCATCTAAAATCACTTTTTGATTATACATTTACAGTAAGCTTTATCGGTTTCAAAGATATCTTTGATATCTTGGTTTTTATATTTTCCAAAAGTTATAGTAGTCATCCTATATACATAGACTTAAAAAAAATTATAAATCAATAAAATAAAAATCGTATTAGTGAAAGCATTATTAATATATTACCAATTGTAAATAGTACAATAATTAAATTAAATGACTGTTTATTAGGTTTAATTATCTCAATTCTAAGTTTTTGGTTACTATATGGAAATGTAGTACTTGATGTCCATTTGGTATGAGGACAATATATGTAATTTAATGCTGCCATATTTCTTAATGAGTATGCAGTTCTCCATTCTCCATCTATATAAAAACGATGAGTATATACCTCACATACTTCACATATTGGCTTCATTATAATACCAACATAATAGCAATCAGTATTTAAATCACTATTATTTCCGACAAATTTAATCAATTCTTCTTCTGAATGTGGAAGTTGTACATGTTTTAGACATTTTGAGTTTTTGCAATCATTGTATCTATATATATACCCTGATATTTTTTTTTATTTAATTAAATATATATAACAAATGGTTGAACTAATCAGATTCGAAATTTCCCCGATCAAGAACAAAAAATATAGAGCATTTCTATCCAATCGTAGTCATGTTGATTTTGGTGATAAAAGATATCAGCAATACAAAGATCGAGCCTTAGGCGTATATTCATATTTAGATCACAACAATAATTATCGTCGTGAGCGATACTATCAAAGGCATTCGGTTAATTATCCGAAATTTACCGCCGACTATTTTTCGAAAAAATATCTATGGTAGAATTTGAAAGACAATATCAACATTATTATCATCTGTTGGTAAATGAAATGTATATAATCCCTTAATTTCTGGATTTTGATGAAATATTCTTATCATCCCAAATGGACAAATTGAATATTCTGAGCTTTTATAATGCTTTTTTTAAAGCCATTTCAGAGATGCTGTTAAAGTATAGCTATATGGAATTGCTATGGCAATGATATAAACTCTCATCATCTATATTTTTCGAAAGATATTTGCAATGGTAGAAATCTAAATGATCGCGATCCATTGTATCCATTCTCCAATTTGCGGTGAACAAGTTAGCCATCAACCAAGCTGCTGAAAACATCTTGAAGCAAGAGTCGATCGCCGCTGCCGAGCTGCAAAAGGCTTTTCAAGACGAATTGAAGACGCAAAAGAAGCAACTTGATACCGAGAAGAAAATGCTTGCGACCAAGGATGTGTATTTGTCAAAAAAGGAAGCACGCCTCCAAAAGCAAGAGGAAGTCTTGAACAAGACGAATACCAAAGATTGCACGATCAGTATATCAAGGAAACGGAGGCTGAACTTGAACAACGCAAGATTGATCTTGAGACGAAGTATGCTCAGTTCATGATGGAGACTTGAATGAAGTTTGAACATTAACTTTGATAATGTAACTCCATTCTTTCATATATCGAGTTGTAGAGGTTATAATTTGTCACACTCAACGAATCTTAATCACCCATTTACAAAAATTTTCGAGATGCTGAACTTATTCTGCACCGTTGTGCCCGAGGCCGCTCCGTTCTCAATCAAGATCGATGGTGCATCGACAGTCGAAGAGCTGAAGAAAGCAATCAAGGAAGAGATTCAATACTCTGGATGCGCTCGACTTCTGAAGTTGTTCGTGGCCTGCAAGGATGAAAAGTGGATGAGCAGCGCCGATGTGAAATCAACGACTCTCAACGGACTCAACGAAATGGACTCTACATACGAGATTGGCGATTATTTCACGTTTGATCCTCCAAGAAGACAAGTCCATGTCTTGGTGGTGTTTCCTGCTCCAACGTACTCAAGAAAGTCAGAAGCTATCGCGAGGAAGCCTCACCCCAAGCGAAAAGCAAGATGGGATTTGTTGAACGAGATTCTCAGTACCAACAAGAAGAGATCAAAGTACAACGACTCGACCGCATACTCCTATGTATCTTGGTGCGATGTGCGCGACGTTTTCGAAACGACAGAGTATGTTCAGCCTCACAAGCCAATACCTGAATCACTGCTCAATTTCCTTGCCCAATATTTGTCATACGCAACGACAAGCTTGAAGCCAATTACAGTTGGAAACGAAGCTCAACGACTCCATGTGATTGCGCCAATACTGATCTGTGTCTGCTTCCTTTTCAATGGTGATGTGGTTTTGGAAGTTGAAGAAATCTTGAATGGCGATTACGTGCTGGCTCATGGACGCTTTGATTTTGTTTTACGTCGCGGCAAGAAGAAGGTGTGCATCGTTGAAGCGAAAAAAGACGATTTATTGCAAGGCATGGCTCAAGACTTGGTTGGTTGCGAAGTCGAGGCCGAGATCAATAATCTTGATGTTGTCCATGGCATCGTCACGAATTACGTCCAATGGAACTTTCTGCGAAGTCTCAACGACAAAATTGAACTCGAAGAATGCGCTTTGGATATTGGCAAACAAGGACCATCTTTGGCATCTCTCAACAAGATTTGCGGCAAGATTTATTCAATGCTATCCGACGACGATTAAATG